ACCTGCCCCCGCCCCCTCCTACAGGTGACCTTGGCTTCCTTGTTCCCCTCCCCTCGTCAACCTGGTGGGACTAGGGACTAAGAGCACTCTCGGGCTCTTAGAAAGGACGGGACGGAGGGAAGTCAGTTCCTGGGCTTCTCCCCAGGGCAAGGTGACCCGCCTCAGTTTCCCTGCCTTCCCGGGAAACCTTCTGGCCTGGGTCCAGTGACAGCGCAGGGCCGAAGGTCACCGGCCCCATCGCTCATGGGAAGAGACTCTGTTGTCATTCTCTTCCTGTTCTGCCTCTCGGCTCGACAAGACCATCCACTGACGCGCTGACCCGTGGCCTTCCCTTGGGAGAGGCACCCGCCTGTCACACACCTGCACAGGTGCGGCCAGGTGCTGTCGCCGTGCCCCCCCACCCCGCCCGCCTGCCAAGGCTGTGGAGGAAACCTTTCTAATCCTCATCTTGGGTTTCAGCTACCGCCCACGAGGGACAGCTGGCCGCTAATCCTAGCGTGATTGGGTCGTTTTCAGCCCCTTCCCCAACCCAGCCCCTCAGTTACAGAGGGACAGAGGGGTGTGGTCTATGCAAATGACATGCTAATCAGCCGCCTGCTATTAACCTGGCAAAACCACTCCTCCCAGCTCCCAACCCCCACAGGAGAAGGTCCCAGCTGCTCGGACACTTGCTCTTGTTTGCTTCCTCTTCCAGAAAGTCGCCAAGCCGTCCGACCCCCACTCCACCCTTTCTCTGCTTGGGCGGACACCTGGTGCCCAGAGCCTCCAGGGAGAAGGGGTGGTGTGGTCTGAGTCTGGTTGAACGGTAATGAGTAGCAGGGTCAGGGGGTCCCTTCTACAGAATTTCAGGCCTCTGGGGGCAGGGCACTCTGCGGCCCTCCACCGGCCCTCCATCGGGCTGGAGACCACAGGAATACCAATCACCCCTGCCAGGGCCTGTCCCTGTCCCCTTCATTTCTTTCCCTCTGTGCTTTGCAGAAAGGGCTTGGCCTGGAGACCGGCTGGAGACTACAAGATCTCCAGGAACCCTGGAGCAGCCCACCCGCCACCGTGTCCAAAGCCCCTCACTGCCTCTGCTGGACCCCCTGCCCTCACCAGCATTAGTAAGCACACTTTGCATGCAAGACTGGACTTGGGAGCAGGGGAAGCCTGAGTCGCCGGCTCTAGACCTGTTAATGTTTAACCAATTGGAAAAGTTCTTCCTCAGGTGACCTTTTACCTATGAGTCCTGAAGGTGCAGCCACCCAGCCTGTTCTCCCACCTAGCCCTGGACCTAGAACTGGACACCAGGGCACATGTCTGAGCCTCTGAGACAGGACAGCAGTGCCCTCTGCCCCTGTCTGATCTTATACCAGCCCTTCCAGTAAGAGACTTGGGGCTGGGAGAGATGCTTAGAGACTGTATGATACTTAAAGGGAAATTAAGATTCAGTTTAGCCAGCCAGTCACACCCATCTCTGGGCCTCTGGATCATCCAGAAAGGGTCTGGTTAGTGTGAAATGGAAAAAGACTTAATAGAGAAAGCAGGAAAGACTAGGGTTAGACATGAGCAAGGACTTCCCATGGATCTGACTGTAGTGGGGTTCTGCTCATAGTCCTGCTGGGGGAGGGAGCCTGGGCAGGCAAATGACACTTTGGTTCTGGAGCTTCTTGGGAACCTGGGGGCACTGGCTTGTTATTTGGGGTAAGGATCGGGTTCCCCTGGCCTAAACCTGCCAGCATTCTTGGGTGGAGGACATGGGGTGTGGGAGGTCCCTTAGGAGATATAAAAAAGGTGGACTTAAAAGTGAGAGAATGCTTGACAGAAGGGACTCACAAGGGAAGTGGACAGGAAACTGGCAGGGGGAGTTGACCTGGGGGGGAAGGAATTGAATCTGGGGGCCTGGGTGGGAGACCATTGGAGGCAGGGCTGCCCCTTCCCACCTGCCCCTTCTCAGGACCTTCCAGCTCCAGGGCTGCCCACCCGCCCTCTACCAGCAGCCCTTCCACCCCCGCGCCCCTGGGGCCGACTGTGATGGGCTGAGCCTCGGCACCGCCCCCCACTGACCCCTGCCCGCGGCCCCGCGGTGACATTTGACCTTGCGGCGGCCGCGGACCGGGGACAAAAGGGCCTGGGCCCATCTGCCGCGAGGGCGCCCGTGGGAACGGCTAGACGCTGCCCCC